GATAACAGTTCGGACCTGCTTAGAATCGTAGGGCAGGTACGCCAGCCAAGTACGCTTGCTGTCTTGGAGTCTTGGAGAACCGCCTCCCCATTACCGGATGAGGAAGCTGGCAGCAATGCTCTTCTCTAAGAGGCTCGCGACACATAGTACCAAGCCATCGACCTTGAATAAATAAGAACAGGATGGCGACAGTCTGTGTCTGCACGACTCTCAATTTCTACTCGTCGCAGCATTATTATTATCGCTGTCTGCCATGAAGGTCTCCACACTCCTCGGTCTGCTTCCCGGCGCTGTTCTCGCATCCGATGTCTTGAGCGTCGCATTCTACGCGAAAGAGAAGAACCAGCTGTACGACTTCATCTCGGCCAACAGCGAGATTGACTATGGCTGCCGCCCTGTTGTCATGGCTGCGGGTGGCGAGCACAAGCTGCACGCTGTCATCTCAGAGGACCATTTGGACCACTTCAAGCGAAGCCTGGACCCTGAGCTCGTTCGCGTTGAGCTTCTGCACAATATGAACAAGCGACAGACTGCGACTGCACCCATTGGCAAGGGTGATCGCTTCAAGGGTGGAAAGGTTGCGCCTCGCGGTCTCGGTACCAGGAAGCCCAGCGAGTACGCCCAGCTTCAGAGCGCCGGTGTCTTCAATGCCGACGAAGTTTACACCGCCATGAAGGGTCTGGAGAAAGAGTACGGCATGTCCATCTTCACCACGCCACACAAGACCTACGAGGGTGCGAACATCATCGGTGGTGTTGCCAACAAGGCAGAAAAGATCAAGAAGGACAAGCAGTACATTTACTTCACTTCAGGTATGTATTGATCGGTGAAGCTGTTGCGTAGATCAAACTAACTCGAGTAGGAATCCACGCACGTGAGCGCGGAGGACCTGACAACCTGATCTACTTCGTCTCTGACCTTCTTTATGCGAACGAGCACCGTATCGGTCTCACTTACGGCAACAAGAAGTACACCAACAGCCAAGTCAAGAAGGCTCTTGGTGCGGGAGTTGTCTTCATTCCCATGCTGAACCCAGATGGTGTGCGCCACGACCAAGCCAACAGCAACCTATGGCGAAAGAACCGCAACCCAGCCTCTGCTAGGCCCAACGAACCCCTCAGCGTTGGTGTAGATCTCAACAGGAATTTCGACTTCCTCTGGAACTTCACCGAGAAGTTTGACCCTTCCGTCTCCCCAGCTTCAACAAACCCCGCTTCCCAGGCTTTCTACGGCACCGCACCGTTCTCCGAGCCTGAGTCGAGAGACATGGCCTGGGTATATGACGAATACCCCAACATTCACTGGTACATTGACGTCCACTCTGCTGCCGGAACTCTGCTCTACTCATGGGGAGACGACGTCGACCAATCCCACGACCCCAAGCAGAACCTGTTCAACCCTGCATACGACGGCAAGCGCGGTATCGTCGAGGACGACCTGTACAAGGAGTACATTGACCAAGAGGACTGGGACAACATCCGCATCGCAGCTAACCGCACCACCGATGCCATGATTTCCGTCGGAGGCCGCGAATACGTCCCTCAACAAGCTGTTGGTCTTTACCCTACTTCCGGCGCGACAGATGACTGGTCTTTCAGCCGCTGGCAGGGTAACAAGAAGCTCACCAAGGTCTACGGATACACCATGGAGTTTGGTTACCCAACCAACTTCTACCCTACGAGCGAGGAGTACATTCAAAACATCATTGACACCAATGCTGGTTTCATGGAGTTCATTCTCGCTGCTGTTGAGATTGGTCTTAAGGCTTAATTTTCTTCGCTTGATTTGTAATGGTAGTGAAAGGCGGCTCACGGTGCGAGCATGTGGTGGTGATGATGTCATGAGAAACGAGAGACGACGTGTAGTAGTAGTAGTAGTCGTTGCGTTGTAGTATTAGGAGATCAACTCTTATCAGTCGCAACTTGGTACTTTCAAGACTTGACCTAACGCTTGACTGACACATGGCAACCAGCTTAGTATGATTGCGCAGTTCATTGGAAAAAACACCGTGCAGTATACCGTAAGAGACTATCATTCGTCGTCATCGTTATCATCACCATCATCTACATGTCCCATGCAGGAACAAACATCTCTCCGTCTTCCATGAACCCGAGCTCGCTCAACGCCCGATATCGCCCGTACTTCATCATCCCCACAACTCCCGGCTCAACACCACATCCAGCCATCACAAGACCATCTCTTCATCTACAACTCCATGATCTCCTTGGGAGCTCCCATATAGCTCAAGGGCCCCTTCTTAACCATCAAAGTCATGACCTCATACAGCGTATCCTAGAATGCATCCCGTCAGCGAAAGCCCCAAACAAGCATATACATAATCGAGCCAAGGAGAGTAAGGAAATAGAAACGCACAGCAGCAGCCATAGTGGTTAGTTCGGCGTTGGTGTCGTAAGCGGGTGCGACCTCGACAATGTCGGCGGCGATGAGGTTGATGCCTTCGAGACCGCGGATAATGGTGCGTAGTTCGCGTGTGGTCCAGCCGCCGGTTTCGGGGGTGCCGGTTGCGGGTGCGACTGTGCGTTCATACACGTTAGCTATGCTATCCAATCTATAACGCAACTCTACCAAAGATTAGTAACGTACAAGCAGGATCCAGCGTATCAATATCGATACTCAGATACACGGGCTTCTCCAAGCCGACCCTCTCGCGGATCTTCTTGATAATGCCATCGGTGCCGATCTTGTCCACTTCGCGTGCCTCGACGATTTCGAAACCGCAGTAACCGTCGTTTTCGTAGTCAGAGGGGCCGGATAGGGTCGTGCGGATGCCGGCGTGGATGTTGGTGTCGTTTGCGAGGAGGCCTTCTTGGGCGGCGTGGAAGAAGTAGGTGCCGTGGTTTATGCTGGCTTGTTCGGAGGGTGCGCCGCCGAAGACTTTGGGGCGCCAGGTGTCGCTGGTAGGTGTTAGTGGATATATGATAGGGAGGTGATGAAGAAGGAGTGGGGCTTACAGATGGCTGTCAAAGTGGATGACGGTGATGGGGCCATATTCTCGGTTGATAGAACGGAGAAGAGGGAGTGTGATGGTGTGATCTCCTCCGAGAGTGATCAAACGAGGGAGTGTCTTGCCTGTCTTTGAGGGGCCGGGCTTGTTGGCATGTGTGTGTGGTGGGCGGCTCAACAGAAGGTTGTGGCCTTCCTCGATCTGCTGAAGCGCATACGCGTTGTCGTACCTACACGAGCAAACGAGTTAGCACATCCTAACACCAGCTTCTCAAGCACGTAAAGACGTAAAGTAACTTACGAAGTAACGGGAATGTCACCGCAGTCCACAACTTTAGCCCACGAGTTGAACGGGTTCGCAGCGAGAGGAACGTTGTATCCACCACTAAATCCAATTCTGCGTGAGCCTTTGGATCACGACACAATAAAAGTAAGCATGCGACTGCTTTCAAGGAAACATACTAGAGATTGAGGCGGCGGGAACCTTGTCTGATACCGCTGGGCCCGAAGCGAGCACCAGGGCGGTAGGATGTGCCAGTGTCAAAGGGCGCACCAATGAACGCAATGTCGAACTGCGTGTTGCTAGAGAGACATGGGTGGTATGGAAGGCGGCCGAATGTGGATATGCCGGAGAAGATGGAATCGGCCTGCAGTCACGTAAGTTAGTGTTGTACGGCGTCGTTTCGAGCTGTCGATGCGTACTTGTTTGCCGCCATCACCAGGAAGTGTGTTGTACCACAGTCCCTCGTGAGGACCATTCAAAGGATCCTGGTCATGACCGTGGTCGCCGTGCGCAGCTACCGTAGCCGCGAAGCTCAAAAGCGCGGGAGTGAACCTCATCTTGCTGGAGTCTCAGGATAACAATGGAGTGAAACTGGAGGGGACGAGATGGATGAACAGATCTGGGGACCGCGGAGAGCTCGCAGTAAATAGCTGAAGATATCGAGCGCAACTCTATCAGTGACTTGTTTGACCAGCTCACGTTAGGTAAACTGCTGTTAGGTAAACAACATTTTTTTGGAGCTACCCCTGCTCCATGATGATGTCGTCTGCAGGCATAGCACCGTACTGCCTCCAATCGGTTAGTAGATCCTTGGAGAAGCCACCGGGCTCGATATTGCGTTGACGTAGGTTGTGAACTCGGAGTTGTGTGCTTCGCGGATGGAGTTGGAGAAGTGCTGCAATGAGAATTGGACTGGACTATTCCGCAGTCAACCATGTCTACCTTTTGAATAACCATCTGAATACCGTGATGGTCGCACCAGCTCTTCACCTCATCCGCGTACTCTTGCGCAACTTCATTTCACCGAGAACGACATGCACCAGCCGTTGCTGATCGATGTGGATACCCACCCCGCCATGCACGCATGTACAATGACGGGCGCCACGGTGATAAAACCCGGGGAATCCGACCAGTAACCTTCTCCATAGACGATATGTAACGCTGATATTCAGCAGCCTCGATCCCTGGGTATCGCAGCCTTATCTGAAGCGAGTCAAGACGCGTAGCAAAGTTACGCTAGCTCATGCATGCAAGTGAGCTTTCCGGTGAGGTTGTTACGTAGTCTAGAGCTTTATACCTCTACGTAACGGTCTTTCGTAGCTGTTGTATGGTACGCGGATTGGTTCGATAAGAATTGTGTGATCCGGATGCATCCTTCAAGTGTGATCTCCGTGGCAGGTTAGGCGGTCGATTGATGGGCCGAGGTGCAGCGCATGCACGGTCGCATACATCGTTCACTCACGCGTTTCCAGTACGGGGTTCCATGCCATTGAGGAGAGAACAAGGCGTGGGGTACGCAGCGATCGGGTAGCTGTGCGGAGGTGATGAGGTGATGAGGAGTGAGGTTCGTTCGCGGAGCCAGGATTCAGATACCGGCGGCACTAAAAACGTCTCGCTTAACGTATCGAGTAATTTTTGACACTTCGTGCATTGGTGGCTCCGGGCAGCTATCTATCTCTATTCCGTGCGTCTACACAGTAAGACGCGTTGCTAATACCTCCGAGGTCCGATCGACCTCAATGATGCGAGGCCACTATCTGTGTACCGGCGCTGCTTCATCTGGAGGCACGCCCAGCTCCGCCCTGTCATCCGAATCCATCCGCTCGAAAGCTTTCTTGACTTGGTAGTCCCAGTTACTCCAAGCAACGATCGCCCATTCTGCAAATCCAACAAGATACAGGGCTATGCATTGGCCTACCCATAAGCCGCCAAGTCCCCAGCCGTGGAAAGCAAGCCAAATGCCGAGTGGCAGAGCTCCGCAGTAGTAGCTGACAATGTTTACCGTCGCTCCAATATGCTGTCGACCCATGCCTCTGAGGGCGCCTCCGCAGCTGCCGTTGAGTCCGTCTGCAATTTGGAAAAGCGCAACATAAGGCATTACCTTTGCAGTGAGCTTGATGACCTCGTCGTCGTCGTTGAAGATCTTGGCGTAAAAGTCTTTGACGCCCATAAGGACAGCCAGTACAAGCGCACCGAGCAGCATACTAAGTACCGCAGCCACGTTGGCAGCTCTGGCGGCGCCTTTGGCATTGCGTGCGCCGAGGAGGTTTCCGACACGCGACGAGGTAGCGACACCAACTCCGAAAGGAATGGTGTTCATGACTTGGTCCGTGGTCATGATGACACTTTGCGCGGCGAGTGGTATCGTGCCGAGTTTGCCTGCAACAAGCGCAACGATCTCAAACGCCCACCATTCTGTGCCGACATGTATAACTCCGAGTAAGGCAAGCCGTGAGAAGGTCCAAAGGTTTTGTAGACACTTACGGTCCCAACCGCCCCAGCATTGCCATCCATCGACGAAGCGAGCATATGCGAGCAGCAAAAGAAATGATGCCCAGTATGCGATGCCGGTAGCGAGCGGAGCGCCGAGAAGGCCCATTTGGAAAGTGTACACGAAGAGGTAGTTCAGGCCGGCGCTGAGGGGGGAGGTGATCAATAGGACGTATGTGCCGGGTCTCATGATTTCTAAACATGTGAGTATAGTTTTCTGAATGGCGGCAGAACAAGAACCATACCTTGAGCCTGCATATACTTCTTCAACGCCTCAAAATATACGTATCCGATACCGCCTGGGGCAAGCACCGAGAGGAACCTCGCCGAGTCTCTGGCGATATAGTCCTCCTGGCCGAGCGCTTTGAAGAGCGGCTCGGAGCAGAACCACACGATAGCGATGGGTATGTAGAACAGTAGAAGAACGACGAATGCGCGCTGGAGGATGATACCCAGGTCATGCCGATTCTTGCTTCCGGTAAAACTGGCAGAAGCCAGCGTGTCGATCGCGGTCGTGCCACCAAGAGCGACGAGCCAACCCGTAGCCATTGCGAACATATACGAGAAGGCAGCGGTAGCCAATGCTTCTGGCGAGAGGCGTCCGACGATGAGGACAGATACTGTCTGCAGGGAATTTTGCAACGCGTATGCTACGACCACGGGAAGTGATCCTTTGAACAGTACCCAGAACTCGTGGACGATAAGTTGGGACTTTGATGCAGTGTCATCATCGAGCTCGTGGGTTTCGCCAGTAGACCATTCCTCATGCTGCGAGTCTGGGAGAAGAGATGTTCGCTCATCAGGCGTGGCGTCATCTTGAGTCGACTTCTTGAGGAAGTTCGGCAGCCATGACCGGTACTTATTCGCTTCGTAGCCCATGACGAGAGGTAGATGAATAAAAACGAAGAACGTGTGGAAAGTGAAGAGAATCCCCCAACAACGACGTCTGATATGTAAGACAAAGCTCTTCCACTCCAGCCCCGATACCCACAAGATGAACAAGGCAAAAAGCTTGCAAACCTTACATCACGCATTCTCTGCCCATCCCAAATCAACAGATAGACCCGGCATGACAGCACCTCTGACAATACAACACCCTCCCAAACCGGTGTAACCACGGGCGTATCTACCCTACCATGAGCAGCAAGACCTGCAGCCGCCAACAAACAAAGCAGCATGCATGCCGCCTCTAGCCCTAATCGACGTGTGCAAAGATCGGGGGCGTATCTTCCAGCAGGACAGTGCGCAGCTGTAGCCTTATCGACTTGCATCTGCGCGGTCATTTGACTAAGGCACTTCGGTAAAACGTTTTACGTGAGGCGAGGACGTACTGGACGCGTTCGGATAAGTGTAGGAGAGTGGAGCTGGGAACAACGTTGATGCTATTGTCTGGGCGCGACCGAGCGGAAGCTCGTTGCAAGTGCCGGCCACGCCGAAGCTTCCCCGCAACATCGCGTGCTCGACAGCGAGCGCGCAAGAGAACGCATCCTGCGTGCAGGGTGTCAATAAAGTTGATCGTATGGCTTTCTTCTGTGAGATTTCGTGCGATGCCCGGAAGAGCCCGGTCGAGGTTTCACTGGAAGCTTAGCGAGTGTGCCGTTCATGAGGTGCAGGTCAAACTTTACTTGATTTGGCCCGTGTCCATATAGCCCGGCACATCCACCAACAACGACATCAGGTAAGTTAATGGATAGTATCATTCGGAGATCGATGTTGATGTGTCGTTAAATTCGTAATTACCATTAAACAAAATGATTCTCTTTTCCGACCAAGATGACCACAAACCCGCGAGATCCAGCGCCGAACAACCGAGAAAGTAAAAACAGAAGGGGGTATAAAACATTACTAGAATCAGGAGCGCATGCCAGTCATCCTAAGCTTCTCCAGCCAGCGCAGCGGCGACAAGGATGTCAATGCCACTCGCGTGTGTGCTCGGGTTGCCACTGTCGCTGGGCCCCTGCCACCGATCTATGATAACGCCACCATCAACCCTAGGCTGACTCCTCGCCGCATTCGCATTGCGCATGAAGAATTGTTGGACACCTTCTTGTGGTGCGTTTTCATACAGCGTTGATAGACCGCGAACGTATGCGCCTTTGAACTGCGAGGCGACGGGGTCGAGAGGATAATCAGCGGGCTCGGTAAGGATACCGCTGCCGTCGCTGAGTTTAGAAGTCGACGCCGTAGCGAGCTTGTAGGCCTTTTCGATGTAATCGCCGTTGTTTGTTGCGCGAGCTAATTCCGAGAGACCAGCTAGGACGATGCCTTGGTTGTAAGTGAAGGTTGTTCTGCCGTTGTTCTTGCAGCTTGATGGGTCGATGCCGTCGTTTACTAAGCTGTCGGAGTTGATGATACCGGACTTTTCGAACCAGTCCCACTCCATCTCAGCCCAGTTGGTGTAGTCCTCTTTCATCTGGCCCTCAGCCCGGTTTGCCAGATGGGCAGCAACGGATAAGAAGAGTTCGTTTGAGATGGCGGCAATGTAGTCGCGGTCTTTGGACCACCATAGGCCGCCGCCACACCGATTGCCGTCCCAGCCTGTAGTCATGTCGGCGAAGATGTCTCTGGCTGTGTCGAGGTACTTCATGTCTCCAGTGAGATCGTATGAGGCTATCCAGCCCATGGCCCACCACCCCTCGTCATCGTAGAACTTGTTCTTCCACCCATCTGCCCCGTGCTGTTGGGACGATTTGGCGTATGTGGTGGAGACGATGTTAATGGCGTGCTCCTTGAAGTCGGCATCCTGAATACCGAAGCGCGCGACGGTCTCGATAATGTTGCCAGACTGCCACCATAAGTCGTTCCTGGTAGAGATTAGATTTGGTCAATGTGAGAAGTGGACTGCGACGTACCATAAACCAGTATCAGAATTGTACCATTTTTCTTGTAGAGTCTTTATTGCTGAGAAAGCGTCGTCGGCAAAGTCTGCGTATACAGGCGTACAGTAGAGGAGAGGTATCAACAGCGCTGTGAGGTACTTCATGGTGGATTAAGCAATAGTGACAATAGGGATTACTGAAGTGCTTCGAGCTCAATGAGAGGATGCTGGCTTGATAAGGAAGTGACAACTAACAGAGGCGAACCGCTCTGTGTTTTATGTTTTCCCCAGACGCTGTGACATTGACCGAAGCGACCTCGACTTCGAAAGTTCAGGCAGATGTATCAAGGAACCGGACTGTAGGCTGGCGTGTGAGTTCGATCCTAGTCACGGCAGTGCAGATAACGCCGAGAACTCCAAGAGGATACTGTACACAAGCAAACCTGTTCGACATATCGAATGTACCTATGGCATTCTCTGCCGCATAAAGTCATCCCTGCCATTACTGTGCTTGAGCTATTGTTAGAGCCTGTGGCACAGCTAGCCAGGCGGCCTTGCGGATTGTCAGGCATGGAGACTCATGCGGGCGAGAGCCGTCGACGAGTCAATGACTGTGATAGAGGGCATGTCCATACACCAAACGGTGAGGTTTGGTACTGTGCAGCGGTAAGTAAAATTAGGTTTGTCGGAGCCTGATCGACGCGGACCCTATCATGAAGCGACTACTGTCTAGGAAAGCGCTAGAGCGGATCCGATCTGAAACACGGGGAACAGACGCTGGGTATACCTATTGGTAAGGCAGATATGGGAGATTGAAGGTTGATTGGTTGTATATCTGAAATATCGCCTGTTTGGTTAGGTCGCTTGTGGCACAGGGACCCTTTCGTGGCTTGTGAAGCGTTGACCAGCCTTGCCGACCCTGGGAGTTCGCTCAGGAGCATCGCGTGTAACGGCGAGCCCTTCCTGAGGATATCGCGCGACGCCGACGGCACAGTTGGGAGACGACTCCAAGTCGCGCGGCGAGACTCGAATGCATGCAACCCGTATAAGACAATGGTCGAACGTTGTTGTTGGCTATTGAATGTGGCTGTCAGGCCTCCAGGCAGCTTTCATTGAGCATCCGACGGTCGCACTTCCGACTGCTGACCATGCTGGCATCATGCTGGCGATCGCCTTCATAGGGCGATGTTGGTATCAGCTATAGGAGTACACTATAGCCGGCGTTATCTGAGTTGTGCGCGGGCTCGGCCCAAGGGTGACTGCGGCCGGCCAGGTGAGACCGCAGACCTCGCCGTGCAGACAAGGACCAGTTCTCCGATAGTGATTCGAGGCCGTAGCTGCGGCCGGAAATAGGTCAACCCTTCTCCCGCTTCTTGTTGCTGACTTGCAGTTGTTGTGGTACCAATGGACGCGATGTTGGCGGGACTCAGCCTCGCCACGGATGCTGTGAGATCAGCCAAGGTTCACAGCAGACAGCGCAGCAACGGATAACGGCCCGCTTCTTCTATGTAAGTACATGATCGGAGTTGTGCGCAGGATGTGCACAGCTTCCAATCGCCCAAGCGAAGGCTCGTCACATTGACGATGTTGACGAGATGAAAAGTGGATAGGCTGCGACAGATGTCAAACAAGTTTTCGCTCAGCGGCAAAAGGCCAGAATTAGCAACGCCGTCCACTGTACGCGCTGTACGCGTGAAGTCGATTGCCGCCGTTCAGCCGAACTGCAGAAGTTGGACGTGTTGATGTCTGTAGGATGTTTGCACGCGCAGCGCGTGGTGTGGTGAGTGATGGATTGGGGTTAGTGTGCGATGGTGATGATGCGGGTCACGTGCTGCGCGACTTCCTCGTGCCTCTGAGCTACGTCAGCGGGGTACTGCCCCACTAAACCCTCGCACTGTTCGCGTACCCGATGCTGGCAAACAGCGGCTCGTACTCCGGAGCATGGCTGGGAGCTAGAAGTAGGGCGAGGGAATAGTCTACCGTTTCCAAGAAAGAACTGATGCTAATCCAGCGCTACCAACTATGTCTCTGCTACGCTACCAACTATCCAGTTCAGAAAGCAATTATGGAAGAGGGGCAGCCGCGGCAGCAGATGCCCCTCTATCCAAGTTGTACAGCGTATCTCACTCATAGCGGGGCAGTGTTCGTCCCGCGGCAGAAGATCTGGAACCCGTACCCACCTTGAGCCGTGGCCAGATGACGCGAATGCCATGCAAAGGCGCCAGATTACCATCAATCACATATAGCGGAAGTGCTGATCTACCTATCGTGGCGGGCTGTGGCGTCTGCAAACTGGTATACATCCTGGCAGGAACCCCTGTAGACCCTGCCAACCGTACATGTGAAGGAGCAAGTAACAGGGCCCACTGAGTACACGGTACGACTGCTGCTGCCCTCTCTCACCCACACCCTTTGCGGCTACGGTGCCTGCCTCGCAAGGCATGACGTACGGGTTTCGTAGCACGTCACTGCAGCCTGGACGACGCTGAAGGGTAGTATATAAGACTGCTTCTGCTTCCCTTTGCTCGAACCTTCATCACACTCAACTCCAATCAACTCAACTACAACTACCACTTTCAACCCTCAACCAACCAACCACCAACTACCAACATGTCTGACAACCTCCGCAAGGGTCTCGGCGAGCAAGCCTACGAGAAGAGTAAGCTTACTGTCTTCGCTCAACTTCAGTGCACCATCTGACAGTGTCTCAGTGACCCCCGACTCCCAGAAGTCCACCACCGAGAAGGCCAGCGAGAGCCTCACTGGTGCTGGTGACCGCGTTGCCGGTATGGTCCAGCCTGGTACGTCTCTTCCACTGCTCACCACTTACCACCCGGCCATAAACTAACATACAAACCAGAGGGCCAGAAGTCCACCGGACAGAAGCTCGGTGACGCCACCCGCTCAGGCGGCGACGACGCCTCCGCCCAGGGCCAGGGTGTCATGAAGCAAGCTCAAGACGCTCTCGGCAACGCTGGTCAGAGCATCTCCGACACCCTCTCCGGCGCCACTGGCCAGAAGAAGTAAAGCACTCGCTTCCTTCTTGCTGTTGCCTGGTAGCCACGATACACAACCCTCCTCTTACGACCATGAAGACCTGAGAATGGACGAACATGATACTGCGATGGATGGAACATACCCTTTCGGCGTGAAAGCCGCATATCTATATACCCTACCATGAATGAAATAACAATGATCAACAATCTGTCTTCTGCTGTGACTTGCCTTCACTTCTCCTTTGATCTTCAGCCACAGCTTCAACTACACACCAATTGCCCTGCTGCTTACTCTCCGCGAAGTAATTAGGATTCCCACCGCCTAATGGTAGCACTCACCTTGTCGCCCAATGCTGCACTTTCACAACTACCAGCGGGATGTGGAATCTGGGAACAAAGACCGGACGTTTGAAGGTATAACTCGTGCATGATGCACTTACTACTAATAGCATGCTATAGATCTTCATCTTCCACCTCCTCCATCTGCACATGCCTGAGTGTATTCTCCGCCGTCTTGGCCTCGTCAGATATACCCTCCATCTGCCCCTTGGCCTCAGCAGCCATCATCTTGTACTCTGCTTCCTGCACCGCAGCCTCAGCAACTTGCTCCGCCATGTCACCCACCGACGTGTTCTGTAACCTCAAGAAAGCATCCAGCTCCTCATCCTCAGCTGTTCGTGGAACCTTCTCAGCGCCTTCCTCCGTGTCATCCTTCTTCTTCCCTTCATTCATATACCCTCCTTCCCGCAACTTGTCAAACTCGTCGGGTTCGAGTAACCGGCCCTCGCCCTTTGCCAGCTTGACCTTCTGCGCCACAGACGCAGGCATGAATCTTGTTGCTTCCTTGCGCAGATCGCGGACCTGGGGCGCGGCTTCGTAAACGATGGTGGGTTTCTTGGGTTCGGCGGGCGCGGCGGCTTCGTCTTGCGGGTCTTGAGGCAGGTATTTCCGTGGTATGGGCGGCGGTGTGTCGCGCGGCATGGGGATGCGCTTTACGTCGTCGTCCGTGTCGCTGCTGTCGTCGTCTTTACGCTGTCCGTCACGCGATCGCTTGCCGAGGACACCGCCGCCTCTGCCTCCCCGGTCGCCTCCCCGTCCTCTGTCCTCGTTGTTGAATTGTCGCTCTGGCTTGAAGACAGGCGCTTTGTCGCCGAGTGCAGCGCGCGCCTTGTTGACGGCGGCGAGATCCTTCTCCAACTCCTGTAGCCGTTGTCGCTCATGTGGCCGTATTGAGCCGCTCTGGTCGAGTTCTTTGAGGTTGTCAATGTCGCGTTGTATGCGGTTGGGGTTTCGGCGCGCGAGTTTCTCGTTGCGCTGCGTCTGGAGGTTGGCCTTTTGCTTGCGGATCTGCTTCTGCTTCTCGGCCTTTTTGGCTTCTTGCACGGGGTTGTAGTTCTTCTCTTTTGCCATCTTGGCGGTCGAAGATGTAATCGGGTATGAAGGAGGTTTGTGAGGTTGTTGGTCGACCGCGCTGTATGGAAATTGAGATTCTGGGGACTGACGTAGGTCCGTGCTTGAGCCGCGGCACGTCGCGAATGGGGTCTGCGATGGCACTCGAACTTCTTCAGCGACGCCAATTCTTGTCAGCTCTCGCCACCACGAGAGCGGAACATCGGTGCCATGTTCATTCCCAGAGCGCTCAGGCTCAAGGGCGTCCGCGAGAAGCCGCGGCCCAAGCCTGCCCAAGCTCCCTCTGAAGCGCCTGCTGATGGCGACCAAGACGATGCGCTGGTCGAGGCGATGCAGAAGACAAGAACCAGCTCACCTACTGACCAGCCAGAACAGACTGACCTCAAAGCCACCAAGCCTGGTCCCAGATTTACCACCAAGCCCGTCACACTAGAGTACATTGGTCAGCTTGCTGCTGGCATCGAGCTCATCTTCACCGACTATGCCCACCAGGAAAAGCAGCGCGCCAGGTGGCTGCAGGACCGTTACAGAACCGTCGATGGCGAGGAGAATTGTATACATGCCCAAGTCTATGTCCTCCCCCATAACTGACTTGCTATACAGACATTCACCTCACCGCCATACTCGAACACATCAACATCTCCTCCCTGAAGCCCGAAGCCTCTCAGATCCTCCTTCAGCAAGCACTCCGCGACTACCCCTCTAAGATGCTAGAGCTCTCGAGCAATGGCTACCATGTTCGCCGCAAGCCTTCTTCGTACCCTCCTAAATACCTACCCCACAACTCGTTCGAAGTCACCGATGACGACGGCCTAGCATTCTGGGACCAGCGCACAATCTACGTCGAGCCACATCTACGCAACATCTGTCCTACGCCAGCAAAGGTCGCATACTGGCTTGCAAAGCATGGCGAATTGCGGCCCAAGTGGCTACCGATACAAGCAGTACATGCACTGTGGAACAGCTGCGCGTTCGTTGTCCTCAGCGGAAGCGTAATACACGAAGATGTTTGGAACAAGTGGAGAGCAGCAGACAAGCCTGAGAATTGGAAGATAATGACCAAGGTTGAGCATACCAAACGCACCGCTGAATACGTTGCGTTGCTCAAGACAGAGAACCCTAGGGGTATGCGCAAGAATATGGTCGACGAGAGCGAGCTGCCTCCAATCGCACGACCAGCAGTGCTTCCGATGGCGTATACAACCAAGACTCCTGGCAAAAAGACCGCTCAGGTTCCTCCGCGAAAGCCAGAAGAAGTACCCATAGAGATCACTGCGGCTGCAGAGGAACCACCCGTCAAGCACAAGCGGAAGAGACGAAAACCAAAGAAAGCCAACAAACCCGCTGGTGGAGATGACGCCGATGGGGATGATGCTGAAGCTGCCCATGATGAGCCGAGTGCAAAGCGCAGAGGTTGAAAGACCACGTTCTTCTGAGGACCTACCCACGCTCACGGCGCGAGGACTCGCAAATCGCGAGCAAGCCTTGAAAACCTCCACCAGCGATCTGATAAGTCAAGATTGAACAGCCTCACGATGGCGCTCAGTAGCACGGCTGCTGTTGATTACCCCGACTTACCCCGCTTACTCGCTAGTACTGACATACCAGGCTTGCCGAAGCCACAGATGGATCGACAGCCAATCCAGACTGGAACGAGGGAGCCGAGGAAACGCGTCGCTATGAGAGGGCGATTGTGCGGCTACTCTAGCTAGAGTATATATAACCGAATACACGAGAACAACGTCTTGTGGTACCATTGACCGTAGTGGCTATTTCTGCTTCGTTCACCAGGCTTTGCCATTTGAATTCGCATACATTCTGTTTGCATAAGAAGGAGCATCGCGGTAATATGGCTACCGTTGTAGACAAGACGGCTGATGGAATCATCTATCGCTCCGAGAAAAGCTACCCGATACCTGACCTCGATGTACTAACGCTTCTGTTCGGTACGCTCACCACACCAAAAGCACCTAACACCACCCCAACAACCTCCTCAACTAACAACACATCCTCTCATAGACTCCGAACACAGCCTAGCCAAACCAGACACCCCCCTCCATGTCTCAGCCGCAGATCCAAGTCTAGTCCTAACCACATCACGCTCCCGCCACCTGACCCAAGCCACCTCAGCCGCCCTCCGCAAACACTTTGGCATCGGCGCCCATGGCCCAGGAAAAGATGTATGCTCCGTTATCTCAACCGGCCACTACCTCCTCCCCGTTCTCGCGTATGGAATCATCGGCGCAGGCGGTATCTTCTCCGCCGCCTCCGCGGCAAGCACAGCCAGCGAACTAGCCAAGCAACTACAAGGTGCCAGCTCGAAGGTTCTTGTGACTTGTCAAGCTACCCTGGAGACTACGATCAGGGCTGCAGAGGACGCTGGGTGGGGTCATGGTGGAGGCGGGCGCGTACTGCTTATGAGTGAGGGGAGAGAATGGACGTTGAAGGTTGTTGGGGAAGATGGGAGGCCGGGGAAGGACATCATTGATGAAGGAGATTTACTGCCGTGGACGCGGATCACGAATAGGAAAGAGCTGGACGAGAGTCTGATAGTACTGATCTATAGCTCTGGGACGACTGGGCTACCCAAGGGCGTAAAGCTTTCACACCGTAATATCGTGAGCCAGACTGTTAGTACGGGGGATATGATGAAAGCGTGGGTGAAAGAGAAACGCCCGGGTTTCGAATACCGGACAATCGCCCGTAAGTTATACTTCCTTATACGATATTGCAATTTGAGATAGATGTACGCTGACATCCCATCCCCCACCAGACCTCCCCACCGCGCACATAGCCGGCGTACAAGGCTACCTGATAAACCCCTTCTACCTGGCTGGAACCGTATACTGGATGCCGCGCTTCGACTTCCCATCCTTCCTCACCTACAACGCCCGCTACCGCATAACCTTCTTCTTCACCGTTCCCCCCATCCTTTTGCTAATCGCCAAATCCCCCTTGGCAACCACGCAATTCGCTACCCTAGAATTCTGTGTCTCGGGAGCCGCGCCACTGGGAAGAGATCTTCAGTATGCGGCAAGCCAGAAACTTGGGGGTGAGGAGTGTTTTGTGGATCAGACGTGGGGCTTGAGTGAGACGACGGGGAGTGCGACGATTATGACGCCCGGGAAAAGGGATGATACGGGGAGTGTGGCTATGTTGTTGCCGAATATGCGGGCTAGGCTTGTTGATGATGTTGGTAAAGACGTTGAGTTAGGGACTCCGGGGGAAGTGCTGGTGAAAGGGCCGGTGGTGTGTAAGGGGTACTACCAGAATCAGGACGCTGACAAAGAGGCTTTCAATCCGGATGGCTGGTTTCACACGGGTGATATCGCGGAGTTTAGGAATGGGATGTTCTATATCGTTGTAAGTCGTGGCCGGACGAAATGCATGTGGGACATATGCTGACTTCGCACGTCTACCTCTGCAGGATAGGAAGAAGGAGTTGATTAAGTACAAGGGCCTACAAGTTGCGCCGGCTGAGTTGGAAGCCATGCTGCTCAGTCATCCGCTGGTCCTGGATGCTGCAGTTATTGGTGTGTCGACGGATGATGGGACGAATGAGGTGCCGAGAGCATACGTAGTCGCTGATAAGAGTAAGATTGGAGAGAAAGACATTGTCGAATTCGTCAAGGGGAAGGTTGCCGGGCATAAACAGTTGAGGGGAGGTGTTGTATTCCTAGACGAGGTCCCGAAAAGTCCCGCGGGGAAGATACTTAGAAAGGATCTGAGGGCTCTGGCTGCGAGGGAGAGGGGTGCGAAGCTGTAAGAAAGGAAACTCTTTGACCAGATGGAGCCGATATCAAGCCCAAGCCTCAGTCAACAGCGCACTTCATGTTTTGCTGTAAGACAGGGTTGAAGAATACATCGTAGTTTTGAGGGTACAGTACCCAGGTGGTACTGCGGAATAGCGAATACCTTCCGAGGCCATCGCCGACTTCATGAAATGCAAAAACTTCCCCCTCGATCACCGAATGTCACTCAAGCTTTGGAATTGAATTGTTTTTGACGCTCGCCTGAACATTGCCGTGCGATGCAGGTGTGCCCCGCGGGCAAAGACACGTTCCAAGGCCGCGGGAAGCCCGTCCCCGGCATTCCGAGGACCCTTGTTTACCGACAGCTGCGGGTTGATCACCTACACGTTCGGCGATCAGCTTCTCTCAAGACTTCCTGCTTCGATCCTGATCATCGCAATTCAAACAACCATCATAGCGCTGATCGGCTATACTATAGGCGTGGTTGCTACAGGTGTAACAGCTGCTCTTGTACCATGCACCTCTCCAGCCAACCGAACGCCTGCCTTCCGTAACGCGGACGATGCTCCGCGCCTATCAACACAGACTGGCCGTGTGTATCCACTTTCAGAAAGGGATGCCTCATAGCGTACTTCGACTGGTCCGGCACAGGTCACCAGCTGCCTTAACGAGGCATACACGTGGGATTAGTAGGACTGACCGTGGTACCGCCGGGTATGACATCACTAGAAGGAAACACCGTGTACCTTTGTCTCATCCCACCAGCCTAGGCTCACCACGTCTCGCTCCACCGATCAGAACAATGGCTCGCATAGCGGTATTTGCTCATAATGATTTCATTTTTCCTCTAATTAACATTCTGTTCTAGCAACAAAACCAAAGGATTCAGGACATCCTCCCAACCCTCCAGAACGAGGCAGATCAAATCGACCAGATTGCAAAGATAAGAGGATGGTTCCGTCCAAAAGAAGACAGCGTGTACTACCCGTTGATCCAAGACTACCTCAGCGAGAAGATCGACGTGAAAGAAGCGACGGCGCGCATCCTCGGACCGATTGATGAAAAGATCAAGGAGGCCAAACTCGACGATGTCGACTTCATGGACCTATGGACCAGCATCATTCACTCAGCAAGACGATCAACATTCCGCGACGGCGCCCGAACGCAGCACCACCAACTCATCGAGTTACTCGCCGCATTCAAGGAGCACTCAATACCGGACAACAAGGAGTATGACTACCTCTACAAGGATATGACCGACTTTGGCATGGCCTGTCGAGAGGCCTTCAACGACGCGCCAGCCGCTCACGAAGGCTTCATCGAGACGGAGGTGCAAGCTTGGACGAACATGAACTATTTCTTCGCCTTTGTAGCAAGGGAACATATCTATGATCTCTCCATGTACGCCATCTTCGCGCTACGGGAAGCTCTCGAGACACCTCCCGTCGACGAACCGATGTCGACGGCCAACCAAAAATACGACGCAAACGTTCCCGCAGCTGCAGCTTGGATAATAGCCTACGGCCACGACCTCTTCCGCATGGAAAAAGATCTCACACCCACCGACAAAAAGCAAGGCAACCCAGGGCGCGGCGGCGAACTCTGGAAAGGCAAAAGCGAGTTCAGCAAAGAAAGATGGGCGCTCTGGAAGGAACGGTTCGCGGCGATTGCGGAGATGGAGGGGGTCAAGGAACGAACGAGGCTCGATGCCAAGGATGCGATAGAGGCCATGGAGAGGAGCCAGACGTATGAGCTCATGAGGTAACTTCCTCCAAGTCTGACGTGCTGATGTGCATTTGCCAGATTCATGTTTGCGGAGGAAGTGGTGCGCAATGGAGATTTGCAGCGCCTTGGAGGAGGGTTCCCACAATCGTTTGAGCGGGGGCCTAAGCGCCAGAAGAGAGAGGATAGTGGGAATGGATGCTGAGCACGGATGTGTCGTTATCACAGTATGAGTCGAGGCGCGGTATGGAATATGACTTCAGGGTCACAGTATCTTCGCTAGCGACCTAAACATCGAATACAGTCCTCTACGGCTACCCCACGGGCCTATGCCTTCGTACTCGCCCCCAAAGCCTCCACTCCCGCATTCGCAACACTCAAATCCTGCTCTACACTCCCTCCACTAACACCCACACCTCCAATCAACTTTCCCTCAAGGTAAATCGGTATCCCGCCCCCAAAAGCAATCAACCCCCCATTCGTATTCTGCACATCATAAAGCGGCGCACCAGGCTGCACCGCCGCATACAAATCCGCACTAGCATACAACCCATTGAACAGCACAGCCGTCCTAGCCTTCTTCTGCGAGATATCGATGGAGCCGACGAATGCGTTGTCCATGCGGTGGAAAGCGACGAGTAGGCCTGAGGGATCTACGATGGCGATGTTTTCGGGGATCTGGAGGGATGTGGCGTTGGTGATGGCGGCGGAGATGACGGTTTGGGCTTGCGAGGCGGAGATGACGTAGCGTTGGGAGGGTGTGGTGCCCATGCCGTTTGTGGTGTTCATTGTTGCGGCGGCGGAGGTGAGGGTGAGGAGGCTGAGGGTTGTGCTCAGGAGGGTGGACAGGAGGCGCATTTCAGTTGTGGGTAGGGGTGTTAAGACAGGCTTTGTCGATAGTGATGTTTAATTTTTCGATCGTCCCTGATGGAGGTTTTGGAGATGTGGGTAGGTGGGTAGGACGCGTGTAGAAACGGTCGACTAATAGGTAAATTTGAGATTCGTGTTGTAATATCTTCTTGTCTGCCGTCCCGTCCATTCATTACATATTGTGCTTATATAGGTACCCGATTTGGCTCTCCCCTCCGACCTAGAACATGTCTAATGCCTTCTCCACTTCTGCATCTTCGTCTGCAGGTACGAGCCGAACCTCGGTCGTAGATCAGGCCTTCCATTCAGCTCCCAGGAAATTTCTTCAGCCGCAGCTCAGCTTTGTACAAAAGTATCGATTGCTGACAATGGCGCATCCTAGCTGCCAGAATGGCGGCGGTCTAGTCCACCGGAGGCAAAAGATTTCAGGGTGTAGTGTGCGGGGGCATGAACTCAAGTCGTGGGTCGTTTCCGCTTGTTAGACCTGTTTGGGCTTGGTGGTTGAAGATGGCGGCCGGCCCGGGCGGTTTAGTGTCGGATGGCAGGGACCGATCCGATGCTCTTCTCCCTCACTGTGGTTGCGCGGCTGCGACGACTTGACTCGCATTGTGCGACGTGGGTCTTTATACTAATAGTGAATGATAGTGGCGTGAGATGGGCGGGCGAGGTATTTGATTTCTTCCATGACAGTTGTGGAACGTCCCGGGAATAAGAATAAGACCTTCCAAATTTGATGCACCAAAGTAGTGCACCTCTCGCTGCGACGGACATGTCGAAATGATTACTCCTCGTACGAGCAGTGCACGTCGGTGACATGACGTGCCAGCCGCTCATCTGGCGTCTCTCCCGCTGGCATGTGCTCGATACGTACGCGACATAGCCGGCATTCTGGTCTCTTTTTGCGCTTCTCTTCCATGAACTCAATCCACGCGTGTCGGATCTCATCATCTATTCTCTCTCTCGCCTCCTCATCTTCAATCAATGACAAGAGTACGCCAGTCTTCTCTTTCATGTTCTCAAACTCCGCGGCCTCTTTCGGTCCAATCTTGACCCATTCGCTGCATATCTGGTTCTGCACAGGGGCGACTTTGAAGCGCTTGAGATCGCCCGTCATAATGGTCGCGAAATGAGTTGCGAGTTCTGAGGCATAGCGCACGAGGTGGGATTGTAGCTGTTCTCCCGTCTCCCAAAACAGATTGTGGCTGACCCACAGATCCATGTGCTTGATGCGGTACATGAATTGTGCGGCGGTTGCTAAAGAGAAACTACACGACGTTGATGTCTCGGTACAGAATATCATGTGGGACCAGTATGGTGGGAGCAGGAGGGTCTGTCCTGGCTTCTGAATGATTGCAATGCCGTGTTGTAATTGCGAAAGAATGTCCAAGGGAACATGTGAGGTGTTGCTGTCATGCATACCCTCGTATGCTTTGCGGAGAAGGCCTAGATTAGCTTGCAGCGGAGGAAAGGTGAACCACACTTTCGTGCCGGTCAACAGCGTCGTGGAGAAGTGGTGTTCATAGTACTCCAACTCGAATACCTCGCCTGATGGAGCAACGGTCATCTGAAAGTCTGACTGACCTAGCATACCTTCTCCTTCCCATCCAGCCATCCAGCGCCTCTTCTGGTTGAAGGTAGGCGACTGCATATGGACAACCGCGCCAGGCTCTGAGTACCTCGGGTTACCGATGTTGTCGAGCAAGTGCATGACTGCATTTGCATCGTCTTCAGGCGAGCCACGCGAAGGTGCAAAATGGAAGTGATTCTCACCTCCAATGTCGCTTTTGATCGCTTTCTCGACTGCCGCAGGGCTGGGTAGCGATGTGAAAGTGAATGGCAACTCTCCGTTAAGGTTCGGCGTGTCCCACTGAGATGGACCAAATACACCATCTCTTTCCTTGCGGAAGTGTCTTAGCTCGTCCTCGTTCAATGGATGGATACGGCCACCTTGAGCCGTGTCGAAGGCGAAGGCCACTCGGTGATCAGATTGATGGCGTTCAAGCTCGGCCATGACATCTACCAGATCTTGATCGTGTAGAGTAGGGGTAGATATGGCTGCGTTCGCTCGTGCAGACCGTGGCGTCGATGCAGTGACGAGACGATGCGTTGTCGGGTCAAACGTTGTATCGCCATGCTCTCGTAACTGCATACCGGAACCGGCGGACGCAACCGATACTTTGTGTGATGAAGGATCCATGACACGTAACATTGGGAAGAACTTTCTTGTTGCTGATATTGCTGAAGTTTTATATGTACTCGGTGATTGGAACAATATCGGGCTGTAAGTTCATGAGTATTCCAGGCCTTACAAGACAAACGGAGAGCCCACGGTGGAATCAGTACCGAATATTCTTCGCGAGCTGTTTCACTCATTTCTCTGCTAAACTTGCGGTGTAGTGGCTAGGACGTTGATGGCTGCTTC